AAAAGAGGAATAAATGCTAGAAACTCAGCAGCACCCCACCCCCCCTGCGTCACCCCCAGCTCCCTGGCTTGGCTTCCCATCCCCAGGGCCTGGGGGCCTCAGGGCAGCTCCCCTATCCAACCCACCCCTTGGGTTAGCTAAGCGACTCTGTTACTACAGCTACAGTCCCATTGCCCAGCCCTACTTCCTGGGAGGAAGTCGGGAAGGAATTTTTGTACTTTAAAAAGTTGTTATTATCTGAGGGGAAGTAGCCCCCGCCCCCCCCTCAAAAGAGGTATTTTTTACCTGCAAACTGCTCTTGACTTTCCTTCACAGACTTATGGGGTTTTCAAGGAAGGGATTCAAGGGGGCCCGGGGTCCAGGGGAGAGAGTGGGACCTGGGACATCCGTCCCCCCTTAGACTGGGGGCTCCCTGATGCCATGTTCCTTGAGGCCCAGGATGCTGCCGGCAGTGCTCCTTGGTGCTCACTGGTCAAGATTCATCTCTTTCCGGACTCATCTCCTCAACCATCACTGGGCTGCCCCCACCCTTCCCTATTCTCCCAAGCCCCCAAGTCTCTCGGGTCTTTGCAAATGCCACAGCCCGGCCCTGGGCCTGACTTCCTGCCTCATCAGCCCCTGCTCCCATGCCTGGCAACCCCTTCAGCCTGGTGACTCCCCAGCTCCCTCCCCACCCCATCCCACAGACACACGGGACTCCTTCCTGCCTCCTTGCCTTTGCTCAGGCCATTCCCTAGGCCTGGAGCACTTTCCATCTCTCCACTTACCAGTTTCACCACCTTCCCGGCCCAGAAGAATCCCACCTCCCAGCAGCCTTCCCCACTGCCCCACCCCACACTGGCCTCTCTTCCCTCCCCAGTGGCCCCTCCCCGGCCATGTGCCTATCACTTTATGGGGACTGACACCTCCATGCTCAGCCCCTCACAAACGCACACGCTGGGGGAGGAGGCCAGGGAGCAGGATGATGGATGAGGCTGCAGTGGCTCCCTTCCCTGCTGAGGCTGTGGTTAGGAAATCTCCCCTCCAAGAAGCCTGATATTTTCCAGGAATTTCCTGAGGGTAGGGGACCAAGTATTCCAGAATGAGAGCCAGCTGTGGGGCTGAGGCTTGGGGTGGCGAGGGGGGCTCTGGGCTTCCTGGCTGAGTCAGCGACCATCTCCAGGTAATTTATGGGCTGAGTCAGAGCTGGGGATAGTGGGGATGAGAATGGGGGAGGTGGGGGTGCCTTTTAGGCAGTCTGTCAAGGGGAGGGTATCCCCTCACCCACTACCCCACGCCCACCAGCCTCTGCTCCCTTGTCTGGAGCCTGTAAAAGCAGCAGCCAGGAGAGGGCAGAACGGAAGGGGGATGGACACAAGATTGCAGATGGGAGAAGCCTCTGGAGGGCCCTGGGGGTTCATGAAGGTGGAGGGGGACCAGCTGGCAGGCATAGACGGAAGCAGGCCTCAGGACTAAGCTGGGTGAGAAAAGCTGCTGGTCCCAGCACCCAGACTGGAAGCACACCCCCTCCCTCCCTCCTTCTCTCCCTCCCTCCCTGCCTCCCTCCCACAGTCACAAAGCTTCACGGCCACTGCTGTTGCTTCATCTCCTGACACTGCTGACCAACCCTCCAGGGATAAGAGTCAGGCTTCATCAAGATTTCCATGACACCTGCCGTGCCAGGGGGCTCAGTGACTCCGGAGCCCAGGTCCAGCCCCTCTGGGCTCCTGCAGCCTCCAACTTCCCCACTGCTGTCCAGGGGGGCCAGTGACATAACCAGAAAATGCTAAAGGGCCAATGTTAATTCATGTAAGACAGGTGATAGGAAGAAACTGGCAGATAAATAGTTCGCCTCCCGCCCTCCAGCAACTCTTTCAAGATGTGGTGGTTCCATATGGCCTCACTGGATGGCTTACATGGTCAGCCAACCAGCTACACATTTTCTTGAGAAGCTGTAGCCAGTTCCACAACACCCCACCTTGTGTTTCCTCCCTCCCTTCTTCCCTCCCTTCCTCCCTCCCTTCCTTCCTTCCCCTACCCCTTTCTCATCAGGCCTGAGTGGCACTGAAAATCGGATCTGGCTTCTGATGCCCCTCCTGCTATGGACCTGCAGGCATCACAGACCGGGTGCCTCCTCCTTTCTGAGCCTCACGTCCTCAGTTGGAAAAGACAGCCTGGATCCCCCGAACCCTGATGTGCGGCTGCTCAGCTGGGGAGCCTGGTCCAAGGGCGATGGCTTGGAACCAAGACGAAGCCGAAGCAAGCCTGGGAGGGCTGTCTGAGAGCTGTCCTCTGAGGCCTTGGCCTTGAATGCAGGCGGGGCTGGGGTAGCAGGGTGAGCTGGTTACTGCGCCCTCCAGGTTGGAGGAACTCTGGGGAAGGGGGGGCAGGGTGTGTAATCTCTCACACACAAATGCACCCACACACCAGAGTCCCAGGAAAAACCCGTTTCTGCCCAAATCACCCAGCACTGAGCCTGACGTTCCCCAGAAAGATGCGTCCCGATCTAAGCTCCTAGGAGGAGCCCTCTCCTGCTGACAGAGGTGGTGGAGGTGTCACCCGGGGCACCGGACCCAGCTTTCCCATGTCATTCATGTACACCTGTTGCACGATCTCATTTGTTGTAGAATCGCCCCATGGCATATTCCAGCGGGGTGTTGCAGTGACGGGGCTCCACTGACCCTGGTCTCAGCATCTTAGAGGGGCCCCCAGGTTGCTGAATATCTCACTGTGGCTCACGGCTCAATGCCCCAAAAGTCGGAGAAAAGTGAGGATGATAGATTTCATAAACCCCAAATTAGTACGCGAGCTCTACAGAAGCAGTTTGGGGATTTGCGATGCCTTGTGTAGTTCTATGAAAGGAATCATTTTCTAGATGACTAACGAACTGCTTTTCTTGTTAAAAACAGCCAAGATGAAATCTAATCTGGACAGGAGGGACCTCTGGGGTCAGTGGCATAGCTTGACCCTGGACCAGTACCTCACCCACCATCAGCACCCCCTGGCAGGCCCTGGCTGCGCCACGGAGCAGGAAGACCAGGGAGAAGGCTGTTGAAATTCTCCAGGCAAGAGGTGACGGAACAGAAGTGGTCGGAAGTGGTTGGGATCTGGAATAACTGGGGATCAGCTGACAGGGTTCTCTGATGGATTGGACGTGTGTCCTAACAGAAGAGACTCAAGGGCGACTCCCAACTTTTGGCCTGAGCAACAGAAGGGATGAAGTTGCCCTTAACTGAGATCGAGAATGAGTTTCATTGCACATTTCATAAATTGCTTTTGTTGCCACAAGTCCAGAAATCAGGAATGGCTGGAACCAAGCAGGGCATCTGTGGGGTCCTTGCCCATTCTAGCATCCACCATAGTCCCTAAGGGTTCCCAAGAGAGGAAGGAGACAGGAGGAGGAAGGAGACTTACCTTCCTGCCTCTGGTGTGGGGCAGGGGGCGCAGCAGGAAGTGGTTTGACCCACTGAGTCCCCTGGGCTAACACAGCAGACAGGGGCCCGGGCAGTGGATGGTGTTAGAACAGGAGGGGTGGTGTCTGGTACTCTGTCTGCACCGACCCACCTCTGGCCCAGAGAAGCCCTTTCTCCTCAGACCGTGCGTGCTGTTTCCAGAACTTTCTAGAGGAAGTGCCTACCGGTGCCGAGGACGGCCGCTTTGATTCTCCTGGCCACAGACTCCGGCAGGCCAGGCTGGCCAGAGGTGTGCCTGTACCCGGGCCAGCCAGCACCCGGGGACTCACAGCCAGAGAGGCTGTGAGGGTGGCTTTGTGTGGCAGCTCAGGTTGCCCCTGGCCAAGTCCTCCTGCCAGGAGCGGCCAGTCTGGCTGCCCAAACTCCTGAACTTAGGTTACCTGAGCAAACAGGCCGCCTGTTTCTCATTACTTCACAAGCCTTGGGCCTGTTTGACCCAGAGGCCAGATGCCCTGCCCCCACACCAGCACAGATGAGGGACAGGAAGGCTGCTCTGATTCTGGAGTAAGCTGGAATCCAGCTTCGGAATCTGAACAAGACAATCCAAAAAAAAAAAAAAAAAAAAAATCAAAAAAAAAATCCAAGCTTCTGATATAAAGAACAGATTGGCGGTTGTAAAATGTGGGGGCGGGGAGAAACGGGTGAATTGCATTTTTGTTTTTAGTTTAAATAAGTTGAATAGAAAAGAAGAAGAAGAGGAGGAGGAGGAAGGCACCACAGCTCCGTGGGAAGAGCCAGGAGCCCTGTGTGAAAAGACAGGTTCCTGGGTATCTCTCAGACCTGCAGCCTCTGGGGTCTTGGGGGAGAGAGGCCTGGGGCCTGCATAGGCACACAGTTCCCTGGTGACCTGAGCAGGGTTGGACCCTGGCCTGGAGGACACATGCTCCTCACACTCTCTGGAGAAACATCACACTTGAGTCAAAGACATGACTCACAGGACAGGCGTCAGGGGGTGTGTCCTGGCTGTTCAGAACCCTGGGTCTTTGAGGAGGTCCCAGGGGGCATTTGCTAAGGTTGAGCCTAAACCAGGATAAAGCCTCAGAGAGGGGCTCGCTGTGGAGGCCTGAGCAGGACTCCAGGAGCCAGAAACAGAGATGCCTTGTGGAGGTGTCCAAAGCCCCAAACTCGGGATCCGGGAGATTCCCCATCTCACAGGAGGAGAGATCAGAACTCATCTCTTGGCACCCAGTTCCTTCTCTGAGGAGCAGGGTCCTCTCTGTAGCCTCAAGTGTAAGATGAGGAAGGAACGAGCCTTCAAGTTTTTTGCTCCTGAGGTTGGGAGGTAGGACGTGGGAGGTTGGAAATGGAACTGGCAGGGGCCTGAGCGGGGGAAGTCCCCCCCCCCCCCGCCCCGCCACCGGCCTGACTGGGGTGAGACTTGGAGCTGGTTGCTCGGCACCCTGTGACCTACTCCTCCTCCCTGTAAACTCTTAACCCCGATCTGGAGAAGGTGCTCCCCAAGGGCTAGGGCTCACCCGCCCAGAAATACATTAAATAAATAACTGTGCTCTGCCCAGATTTTATCTCATCAGGATTCCAGAGCAGAAGACAAATGGCCTCATGTCCGGCAGGGTGGTGTAATTCATTCTCCCCGGTGAGCCTCAGCCTGGGGATGCGGAGGGGAGGGGAGAGGTTTGGAGTGTGCAGAACACGCAAACTTGGGGGCTGTGTAGGCCCTCGAGCTTGGCGTGCAGGGCTCAGTGCCAAGACCTCCAGAAACATCCTGCTTTCCCCGGGGCCTGCTCAGGGATGGAAACAAAGCCTAGCATCCTTTAATTCAGGGAGTTTATTTCTGAGACTTCTTCGAGGGCAATACTCATAGGATGTGTAAAGATTTAGCTACAGAGTTGTTCTTCACTGTGTTATTTATAAGTCTGAAAAACTGGAAGCAACCTAAATGTCCAACAAGAGGGGATTGGTTAAATAAATTATGACTCAGCCAGAAAAATAAAACTCAATGCAGCCTTTAAAAAATGATACTGTTATAAAAAAAAATGATACTGTTGAAGAACAGATAACCACATAGAAATGAACTTATAGCATGAAAATATGTCAATTTATTAAAAATACTAGAAGGATATACACCAAAACATTGATTGGTCATAAGATAAAGGATAATTTTAGATTCCTTCCTTTTTCTTTGCTTTTATTTTGGTTTTGCTTTCCGGGATTTTAAACTTTTTCTGCAATAGTCATGCACTTATTTATACACGAAGGACAAAAATAATAAAAGTTGTTATTGTTGTTATTATTTTACAAACCAGAGCTTCTGAGATTTAGCTTAGGAGGGGGGATGTCCAGGTGGGAGGGACAATGTGCTGGGTGCTGAGCGTCCAGGGTTCACCAGACCAGGACTCTGCTTCTCAGGGGCGCACAGTCCTGTGGGGCCACAGATGGGCATCGTTGACAAGTACATGGCAAAGAAATCCTGTCATTTGTGACAACCCGGAGGACATTATGCTAAGTGAAATAAGCCAGACATAGAAAGACAGATATTGCATGATCTCACTTAATATGGAATCTAAAAAATTCAACTCAGAAGCAGAGCCTAGAGTGGGGGTTACAAGGGGCTAGGGGGTGGGAAAAGTGGAGGAATGTTAGTCAAATGGTATAACGTTTCAGACATATTTGAATGAGTTCTGGAGGTCTACTATATAGCACAGTGACTATAATTAATCATATATGCTTAAAATTGCTAAGAGTAGATCTTGTTTTTCACCAAAAAAAGGAATTATGTGAAGAATATGTTAATTAGCTTGAGTGTCCTAATCATTTCATAATGTATACATACATCAAATCATCATGTTGTACACCTTAAATATGTGTGCCTTTTATTGGTCAATTATACCTCAATAAAGCTGTACAAAAAAGAAAATCCATCCTATTTCACAGAGTTGTTGAGTAGAATAAATAAGAAACTCTGTACTTTCTACTCAATTTTGCTGTGAACATAAAACTGCTCTAAAAATAAAGTTTATAAAAAATTTTAAAAATTAAAAAACAAGCATATGGCATGACAGAGAGGGAAGACTTCCTGGAAGAAGTGACATTCACGCTGGACCTTGAGGAGTGAACAGGTAAACTAGATTTCAACAGGCAGGGAAGGAGGGAAATGTACTGCAGACGGAAATACTGGTTTGCTGAGGAGGGGGCAGGTGGACAATTCAGCAGTTGGATACTAGGGTGTGGAGCACATGGCCTTGATTTGGGATTATCACTGGCATGCAACCACTCCTAGAGGGAAGAGAATGAGGACAGAAGTCGGTTCAGAAGAGAACCTTGGGGCAGAGGCTGTGCTGGAAGGAGGCTGAGGAGGAGGATCTGAGAGGCGGGAGGATCACCAGGGCAATGAGCTGTCACAAGATTTAAGAATGAGCAGCGAGGAGAACATCAAACATTGTCAAGAGGTCAAGAGAGAAAAGCATTGAGAAGGGCCCATAGCTGACAAGAGTTTGGTCCCTGGAGACCTTGGTGAGGTTCAGGAGGGGTGGACAGGGCCAAGGTCAGGAGTATATGACTTCCTCTTGCTGTGTAACAAATCACCACAAAGTGAGTGCCCTAAACAATATGACTTCATTCTCTTACAGTGCTGGAGGTCCACAGTCCAAAATCAGTCTCACTGGGCTAACGTCAAGGTGTTGGCAGGGCCCGTTCCTCCTGGAGGCTCCGGGGAAGAATTCGTCCCCTTGCCTTTTTCAGCTTCTTGTGCCCGCCTGTATTCCTTGGCTTGTGGCCCCTTCCTCCACCTTCAAAGAGCCTCACTCCAATCTCTGCTTCTGTCATCACATCGCCTCCTCTGCTTTAATCTCCGGCCTCCCCCTTAAAGGACCCCTGTGATTACATTAGGCTCCACTGGAATAACCCAAGATAATCTTCCCATTGAAAGATTTTTAATTTAATCACACATGCAAAGTCCTATAAAAGATTGGGACATGCCTATCTTGTGTGTGTGTGTGTGTGTGGGGGGTGTCATTATTCAGCTTTCCACTACTCAGGTAGCAAGGGGCTAATTATAGAAGAGAGAAGAGGAGGAAATGGAAAAGGTGAGGAGAGACAATTTACTCAGGAAACTTGAGTGAGAAAGGAAAGGGGGATGGGACAGATTCATGTAGAGCAGTGGTTCTCAACCTTCTGGCCCTTTTAATACAGTTCCTCATATTGTGACCCAACCATAAAATTATTTTCGTTGCTACTTCATAACTGCAATGTTGCTACTGTTATGAATCATAATGTAAATATCTGATATGCGGGATGGTCTTAGGCGACCCCTGTGAAAGGTTCGTTCGACCGCCAAAGGGGTCGCGACCCACAGGTTGAGAACCGCTGATGTAGAGGAAGACCCAGCCTGGCTGCGGAGAAGTGGCTTTTAGAATTATGATTTTTTTTTCTGATTCTGTGTGTCCCCTTTTCTCCCTCCCTCCCCCAGCCCAGTTGGAAAATTAGAAACATAATCCATGTTGTTGATTCCATAAGGTATTGATTCCCCTCACCCCTGACACCCACCCACCCAGGGGTCTGCCAAGCTATGTGAGTTAAAATCTACATTTTTAGAAAGACTGGTTCTCATTTTATTCGCAAAGGCAATTTCTGCTCTAATGACAACACAAAACTTATTAATTATATTATTAATTTTTCAAGTTCAGATATTGATGTCCAGTTGAGAAAGGTAAAGACTGAATTCACATTCCTTACCTCCACTTCCACTCAGTCCCTTTTGAAAATTTGCCTTGTTGGACGACTAATTCTAATTCTTCTACTGCTTTTACCTGTAACTTAATTTCTCCCCGGCGGTATTGAGATATAATTGACAAGGGATTGACATTTTTTTAAACCACCAGGAAAAGAAACCCGGAGCTGTCAAGAATAATATTTTATTGACTTGGAATGAGTTTTGGAATCTGTATTTTTAACCAGCTACCCAGGTGATTTTGATGATCAGACAGTTTGAGGTGTTTTTTTCCCCCCTCTTTCCTCTTTCTCTTCCCTTCAGTAAACTGTTTTTCAACTTTGTTTTTCAGTGAAAACTATTTCCTCCTCACGGTTAACTCGATCCAGAGGCTGCGCCCATCTCTCCCACGTCAACAGTCCTGTGTCCTTGGCGGAGGACAGTGCTCTCATTCTGGGCCTTTCCCTTGTTCCTCGGCCAAACCCCTGCTTCTGCACCTCCCTGCAGCTAGTCAAGCTCCCGATGCCGGGAAAGCCCCGCCCGCTGTCACTCACAGGGATGAGTGAAAGCTGATGAGGCCACACTTGTCCTAATCCACAGCTCTCCTTGCCTCCTCCATTCCCATTTCCCCAGAGCAGCTACCTCTGTCCCAGGCCTCAGGGCTGTCCCTGGGCTGAAGTGGAATCCAGCCACAACCACCTTCCAAAGCCAACAGTCACCGTGAACCTGCAGAAAGGCAAGAGCTGGGCACATCCTGACATAGAGTAAAGAAAGTCTCCCAGTGAAAAGACAGGAAGGCAGTATTTGGGGAGCCCTGTGCTGAGTGGAGGTGGGTGGGGATATTTCCTTGGCTTCCAGAGCCTCTTGTCTGATGGGATCAGCCGCTCCAGCAGTAGCCACCTGGCCCAGCTTTGGGAGATGTGGAGATTGAATTTCACAGTGATTTCCACTGGGCCATGGCACCGAGACAGCTGCAGGAGGGCACACAGCTGGCGCTGCCCCACCCCTTGCAGAGCTGCTCTGGAGGAATGCCACCCTCCCCATGGGAAGCGAGAGGGTCCTACTTGCTGTGGTTCCATGGGAAGGGACCTCTACGCTAAACCCTCATTTTGAGGGCACGAGCTGGCCTTCATTAGAGTAAAATCCCAACATCACTTATTCCAGTAGCTCCCCAACCTGGATAAACATCAGGATCACTCGGGATGTTTATTTTTAAAATGAAGATTAATAAAAATAATGATTTTGTGAACCCATCCCCAGACCTAATGAATCAGAATCTCTTTGGTAGGACTAAGGCTGGAATGTGTGAGTCCATTTAATCAGACTGCTTTCCTGATTCCTGAAATTTGAGTCCATAGAATGAGAGCATGAAGAGGCTATGGTGGAGGCTCAGATGACAGAGAATAATCATTAGAGTCACCATTCACAGAGGCATAGCCATGTGAATCGCAGCCAGAAAATCGCAGACTTCTCAGACATTATCTTATTTAGTCATCAAAACAAACCTGTGAGGTATGTCCAATTATTACCCACATTTTGCTGATGAGGAAATGGGAGCTCACAGAGGTCACACAGCTAGGAAGAGGCAGAGCCAGAACTCAGGTCCAGAGCCTTCTCTTCACATCTCTGCCATGGAAGCGATAATGTGAAACCAGGCCACCACCTCCAGAGTATGTGACCAAATTGTGACAATTAAAAAAAATGTGCTTGAAAAAAATATATAGGTAAATTTTTTTTGAGAGAGAGAGAGAGAAACATGGATGTGAGAGGGAAACATTGATTTGCTGCCTCCTGCACTCTCCATACCGGGGATCGAGCCTACAACCTGGGGATGTGCCCTGACCAAGAATCCAACCAGTAACCTTTCAGTGCATGGGACAACACCCAACCAACAGAGTCACACAGCCAGGGAAAAATGTGCTTTCTGTACACTTATCTCTGGTGGGTTCAGTTCCCCTTTCTGGATCTCCGGTGAAATCCGGTGGCGGGTGAGCTCACTCCTCTCACATCAGGCCATCGAGCACTCGTGGACACAGAGGCGATAAGGACATGGCCACCATCAAGACAGGATGGTTCATGGAAAAGGCACTGGGCTGAAGTCAGGAGGGGAAACTCTGGTCCCAGCACCACCACCAGGAGCTGTGAAAGGAGCCTCGGTGCCCTTTCTGTGCAGAGGGAGATGGACAGGGCAATCTGTAGGGGTCAATCAGCTCTTCAAAAGCAGAGCCCAGCCTCATCTCACCAGATACTCCCTCTTCCACTCTAGGCTCTTCCAAAGCAGTGGCTTTCTCTAAAATCAGTTCCTCATCTGGACATGATGAGCCTCTCTGTGGAGGTGATGGGAGCATCAAGGAGGAAATAGAGCCTCCTCAGGCTTCAGAGAAGACTTCCTGGAAGAGGTGGTACCTGAGTCAGAGCTATCCAGGAGAGTTCAAACATCAAGCAGTGGGAAGAGCATGAGCCAAAGCATGGCTGCCTCTCCTCACATGGTATACACATCAGACTTAGGGTTTCAGTGTATTTTTAGGTGTAAAATGCAGTACCACCTGCCCTAGAAAGCCCTCCTCACCTCTTTGGCAGCCTCATTTGGCTTCTACAGGGCTTTGGGGAACTCCAGGGACCTGGGACCCGCACACTGCTGGGGAGAAGATGTTTGCATGCCTGTGTCCCCACTGGCTTCTCACAGGCCAGGGGACTGTGCCTGACATAGGACCAGGCACTGGGTCATACAGGAAGAAAGGGAAGGAAGGAAAGGCAGGGAAAGGAAGAAAGGGAGGAAGGAGGGAAGGAAGGTCTGGTTCTAAGGGGCACTTCACTTGGGAGGCCTCCGAGGGTGCCCGCCTGTCCAATTGGGTTCCATGGGACTGCCCAGGCTGGGTTGGAATCGTCCCTCTCTGACTCTCCCTGGTGAGAGATGTTTAAGGTCACACCATGTGTGACCGGGATAGCTGAGCTCTGAGAGGTTGAGCCAATGAGGACTACTGCAGGAAATGAGTCCCCACATCTCTGCCTCTCCTGTTCAAACATCTTGGATACCTACCCAACATCCTTGAATAAGGCCCAGGATATTTTTTAAAATATATTTTATTGATTTTTTACAGAGAGGAAGGGAGAGGGATAGAGAGTTAGAAACATTGATGAGAGAGAAACATCGATCAGCTGCCTCCCACACATCTCCTACTGGGGATGTGCCCGCAACCAAGGTACATGCACTTGACTGAAATCGAACCTGGGACCCTTCAGTCCGCAGGCTGATGCTCTATCCACTGAGCCAAACCGGTTAGGGCAAGGCCCAGGATTCTTATCCCCAAATTGAGAGTTGAGAACCTGCCTTGGAGAAAAGTATAATTCAGATCCTAAACTAAATTGTTCCTGGAGTGAGTTCTCCTCAGGTTGAAGATGCTCCTCAGGTATAGACTGAGGGGTGAGGGCCCCAGATTGGAGCATCAGACTCCTGGTGCTGGATGCAGCACAAACAAGGCCTCCCTCTGACAAAGGAGAGGAGACAGTATGAGTCCCAGAGACCCAGCAATGAGCAGAGGGCAGGTGGGGGGCCAGGCCCATTTCACCGGAGATCCAGAAAGGCAGAGACTCAGCATGTTTAGGGACAGAGCTGGAAGAGGCCATTGGAGACCGACATCTGAAGCTACAGGTGAGGCCCAGAGAGGGACACTTGCTGTGGAAGACTGAATAGATGGCACTCAGATACATTCAGGCAATTCCCAGAATCTATAAATGTGGCAAAAGGAACTTCACAGATGTCATTAAATCAAGAATCTTGAGGTAGGGAATAGCCAGGTGGCCCAATGTATTAATCACAAAACACCCTTAGAAGAAGGATGCAGGAGGGTCAGAGAAGTCAACGTGATGACAGAAGCAGAAATTGGAGTGACGTTCTCTGAAGATGGAGGAAGGGGCCAGAAGCCAAGGAATACAGGTGGCCACTAGAAACTAAAAAAGGCAAGGAAATGGATTCTCTCCAGGAGGAACGGGCCCTACCAACACTTGAGTTTAGCCCAGAGAGACTGACTTTGGATTTCTGATGTCCAGAATTATAAGAGAATAAATTTGTGCCATTTTAAGCCATTCACTTTGTGGTGATTTATTATAGCAGCAATAGGAAACTCATACACTTACCTAGAGACACAGAGCTAGTAAGTAGCTGAGCCTGTTCTCTGATCCTTCAGGCCCTCTTCATGGAATCCGCATCAAACTGGATGGGGCTGGGGTAGAAATGCAGGTGAGGCCCTGAAGGGCCCAGACAACATGGTTGGGGACGTCCCAGGCCTCTGAGATGTGTGTGCACGTGTGTGCGTGTTAGAGAGATGGGAACAGCGTGCCTTCTTCATGCAACAGAGGATTTTTCTGGGAAGGCAATCCTCCAAAGGCTTGTCAACATTTTTCTCTCCAGGAAAAAATAACTCAATCCCTATAAAAAAAAAAATCATAGTTTCACACGCACACATGTGGACGCACTTGTGGGTCCTAGCAAGAAATAAACTACCCTGTCTACTCCAGGCCTCTTTAATTTTCACGGGTCAGGGTGCAGAGCTGAGCGGGTCGAAGGAACCATCAGCCAGAGGACTGTGGACACATCGTGATGACTGGATTTCCCCAAAGCATTCAGGTCCTGTAGAATAAGTTCCCCACCCCCTCATCGCTTCTTGCTTTCACTGAATCTCTGGGAAGATTTGACACATTTCTTAGCAGAGGAGAGCAATTGGAATTTCCAGCTTAATTCCAGATATGGGCCTGACTGTGCTGGAGAGTTTGGCCTTGTCAAGCATCTGGGAGGCCAGTCGTCCCGCCAGACTCCCCAGCGCCGGCCTGCACGGTCGTGTGTGACCCCCCTCCCTGACTTTGGGTCTTGCGGTTGGGCTTTCTGGAGGGAGCTGGAGGGAGCCCATGTGTGTGGTTTTCACACGTGTGGAGAGGGCTGAGAGGGGTCTGCCTGACTGCCTCTGGGATGGGGAGGGGGGGCTGGGACAGAAAAAAAATCAAGTTGATGAAGAGCATTCTGGGAGTGTGGATGAGGCCAGAAACTAAGGCCAGAGGCTAAATCTGGAGCAGGCTGAGGGTAGGGAGACTCAGAGCACCAACGGGTCAGTCTGAACCAGGGTCAATCCCTATCCAAAGGGTCTTAATAAGAGGGCTGCCAGGAAGGTCAAAGGCAATAGAAAAGTCGATATGACAGCAAAATGGAGGCAAGGGCCCACCTCAAGGAATGTCAGAGGCCTCTAGAATCTGGAAAAGATGAGGAAACAGATTCTGCCCTGGAGCCTCCAGAAGGAACACAGCCCTGCCAATGCCTTGACTTGAGCCCAGACAAGTAAAAGAATAAATATATGATGATTTGTTATAGCAGCAACAAGAAACTAATACACCCTCCCAGCATGTGGTGGATGCCAGATTCTGCCCCATTCCCTGCTGCAAGTATCTTTTCCACACGCACAGGGTGAGGGGGGTTTCCCGTCTGGCGTCCCTGACCACCTTGGCTGAGCACCAGCCCAGACCACAGCAAGGAGGGCAGGAGGGGCTGCTTCCTACCAACCAAGGCCTCCAGCTGGTGACGGAGCTGGACCCTGTCCATGTTGCCAGACTTCTGGGCCATGACCTTGCCCCCATGCCCACTGCCTTCCTTCACTCATGGATAAACCAGCCATGGGCCTATGTTCCTCCACCTCGGCCCTCTAATTCCCGCCCCCCCCCCGCCCTCACACACACACTCTGGGATTCCACTCCCTCCTCCCAACAAGGAGAACAACATTCTCAAGCTGCAAATGAGGGAATCAGAACAAGGAGTGAGAGACACTCACAGAACTCGAGAAGGCCTTGCTTCCTGGGGAATAAACATCAGCAACATCTGTGGTAAATGGGGTTTTAACAACAAACTCAGGGGCCGTGTTGAGTGAGGGTAGGAAGCAGCCAGGCTGGGTCAGTGTGTGTGGATGTGGGACAACACAGGGCCCCACATCCCTGTCCTGAGAAATGTTGAGATTCCACAGCACACCCCTCACTTATTTTTCTCCTCTCTGCATACAAGCCAAGTATAGACACCTATGCACAAATCATCCAGGTATCCATATGTTCCCAAATACACACAGGTCCACTAGCAATACCATCATGCACACAGAGGAAATGGGCAAACACATATGCAGGCTCCAGCCAACACACAAACAAGCAGTCATGCATGCGCACTGCAGACAACCATACTCCACAAATGCAGATATACCCACTTACACAATTACACACT